GAAACCCGTCTCTACTAAAAGTACAAAAGATGAGCTAGGCGTGGGGGTGCCTGTAATCTCAGCTACTCAGGAGACTGAGGCAAGAGAATCCCGCGTGAACCTGGGAGGCAGAGGTTGCAGTGAGCAGAGATTGCACCACTGCACTCCAGTCCGGGTGACATGAGCAAGGCAAGACTGTCTCCAAAAAAAAAAAAAAGGTAAGTTAACTGTAAACCCATTACACATAATATAAATTAAAATTATATTCTCCCCAATGGGTGGTGAAGTGTAAGCATTGTTTTACATATATTTGCAACTGTCTCCTTTAATGATTGGTTTAACAGAAGACCGCTGGATTCGCTTATCTGCTTCTGCACTCAATCTATCCGCCTCCCAGGTTTCAAGCATTTCTCCTGCCTCCAGCCTCTGGAGTGCTGGGATTACAGGCACACGCCATCCGCCCTGGTTCATTTTTTGTATTTTTAGTAAGAGACAGGTTTCACCATGTTGGCCAGGCTGGTCTTGAACTCCTGACCTCAGGTGATCCGCCACCCTTAGGCCTCCCAAAGCGCTGGGATTACAGGCATGAGCTCACCGCGCCCGGCAAAAAAAGTAGTATTTTAATAGCTTTTTCAGGTAACTGTAGCTATTCTGTTTTGATATTATACCAAAGAAAAAATGGTAGGTTCTTTTAAAGGTTTGCTGCAATATAGAATCTGAAATTATTAGTCAACTTCTTTGTACTCAGTTACATTAAAATCTGTTCATGTTCAATACGTTTTACCATTCATGGTTTTGTATTATTACTCCTGGGACATCTGGCAAAAATATTGGGTGACCAACTTTACACGCATCCCAAATAGATATTCCATTTATACATCATCAAAAAATCACAGACCAACCACCATAACATCAAAAAGTAAGTATCAGGAAGACTGTCATTTATATCAACAGCAACAAAAATATATCTTCAGTCGTTATCCTTAACTACAACCCACTTAGATCTCCCCCGACTTTTATTTATTTTTTGTAGTGGAGTTCTTGCTCTGTTGTCCAGGCTGGGTGCAATGGTGGCGATCTCGCGCACCACAACACACTGCTGTCCCCAGGTCAAGCAATTCTCCTGCCTCAGTCCCCGAGTACGCTGGGATTACAGGTTGCCTGCCCCCACACCCAGCTTATTACATCACTTCTGAAATATGTCTGCCATATATCTCAACCTGAATAACCATACGCTTGTCTGTATTTTCAAGTAAAAATGTTCCACGAAAAAAGTAGTTCAAATTGCAACATTCAACAACTGCAGAAGTGCTTTCTTCAGACAACTATCATACTACGACATGCAGAAGTGCTTTGTTCATCACATCTTACTCCTATCATACAGAATATTAAAAAGACAGATACTTGGCCTGGGCATGGCTCATGCCTGTAATCCCAGCACTTTGGGTGACAAGGCGGGAGATCACCTGACGTCAGTAGTTTAAGGCCCCAGCCTGGCCAACATGGTGAAACCCTGTCTCTACTAAAAAATACAAAAATAGCGAGCGGCATGGTAGCGCATGTCTGTAATCCAGCTACTTGGAAGGCTGAGGCACGAGAATCACTTGAACCTGGGAGGCGGAGGTTTCAGAGGAGCCAAGACTGCACCACTGCACTTAGCCTGGTGAGAGGGCGAGACAAAAAAAAAAAAAAAAAAAGATACTCAAGGGTCCAGAGCTTCCTAATACTAATAAAAATGTCTTTAAGAAATTAAGAAAAATTGGTAATTTAAGACAGGGTCTTACTCTGTCGCCCAGGCTGGAGCACAGTGGCTCCATCAGGGCTCACTGCAGCCTTGACCTCTCGGGCTCCAGTGATCCTCCCAAGTAGCTAGGACTAAAGGCATGTACCACCATGCCTGGCTAATTTTTTGTAAAGGGCTCCCCCAGGCTGGTCTCAAACTCCTGGGCTCAAGTGATCCATGATCCACCTGCCTAAGCCTACCAAAGCGCTGGCTATACAGGTATGAGCAACTGCCCTGGCCAACTGGCATCTTTTGTACCTCCTTCAACTCCTTACCCCCACCTACAGATAATCACTGATAACAGTTTGATATATAACCCTTTAACATAGACACACATGCATATATGTATTTACTAAAAATGTGATGCTACAACAAACATTATCCTGCAGTTTTTTTTGTCCTCTTAAGACAGTATGTCCAAATCTACCTTATTCTTTAACAGGTACATATTCCAGAATCCAGATACATCATAATTTGCTTAACCATTTCTCCTATTGGACATTGAGATTACGTCCTTACAAACAGAGAATTATCAATATTCTCGGATATTTTTGATGGATTAATTCTGAAGTCGTTTTGTTAATAACAAAGCTGTTTAATAATTTCTTAAAATCCAATACTATAATTAGGAAAACTCTAAGTACCTGGTTAAAATCAATTTGATAAGCTCAATTATAAATACGTTATTAGAACTCGTTTTCCATTTTCCTCGCCCCAATGAAAATACGCAACTTGAGATGCCAAAGATTATGCAAAATGGTAACTACTTATGGGTGTTAAATGCTGGTAGTACTTGAAACTACTGGCAGCTATGTATGTTTATGAAAAAGTTCAGCTCAACACCCTGTCAAATATTAAAGATAACAAAGTAAAAAAGCATGATTTACTCTTCTGGTGTTCACCTCAGAGATATCTTTATTAAGGCCACCTAAATTTAAACTATTCTCAACATAAACATTGCCATCTTGGCTTACAGTTCTACACAAAAATATTAAAATAACCTTTAATACCGGTTACGAATGGAGGTGACCGAGCTGCTGTGGGAAAAAGTCCCTTATAAAGTATAAATTTTCCATAGCTTTACTTTTAACTTGGCCTATTAACCATAGAAAATGGCTTCAAGTAGATATGTTGGTGTTACAATTTTCTACCAAAAAGTAACCTCATAACACTATAGAAAACATAATGAGTATGACTTACCATCTTCAAAAGGTGTCCCTTCTGGTCTGAAAACAAGAAGATTTCTGATTAAAAGAAGTTTCTCATTCTGCTTTTTCTTGATTTTCAAGAATGGGAAAGGATAAATTTACTCCAACAGAAAAAGAGGGACTCATTCTGATGATTTGTGGAGTTTTAAGACAGAGTTTAATAACACTTTAGCCCTGAATTTTCATAGACCCAGGCATAAAGTATAACTTTCATTCTAAGCTTTCTTTTTAGGGTGGTTTTACAAAACCAAACAAAAAAACTTGCCCATAATTTTAGCACAAAAAAACTTTCATTAATGCTGACCAGTCATTTTGTACATATGTATATATATATATATCTTACAGTGAGCTGAGATTGCGCCACTGCACTCCAGCCTGGGCGACAGAGCCAGACTCCGTCTCAAAAAAAAAAAAAAAAAAATCCGCAACAAAATACATGGCTAACATGGACATGGAAGCAACACCTGCAAGTGAGTCCTAACAGTGAAATGTAAGGTGA